CAAATTCTCAAAACGTAACAACATCTATATTAGCAGATGTTTCACCGTTTCTTTCTTAGATACAACATTCAACGAGAATATTAAACTGATATTTCATTATTTCTTTGTTACGGCATCCAACATGAATATTTACCTGATGCTTCACTTTTTATTAGCTACAAAATCCAAATATTACACTGATCGAAAGAAGCATCAGGTTGATATTCATGATGGATGCTGTAGCAAAGAATAGCAATCTGATGCTTCTTTGCTACAAAATCTAACATGAATATTCAACCAATGTTTCAGTCAACTAGTTCTAAAATACAAAATGAAAGATGCATTGGAAGTGAAAACAACAACTAAATCAAACAGAATATTTATGTATAAGTTTCTAAGATACTGTTACGTCTCTGGTCGTTAGTTAATTTTCCGTAAAAATTATTTCCGAAGAAACTTTAGCGATATAAGTCATTTTTTAAATAAAACTGGTTTATTCTTTCTGAATACAACTTTGCAATACACTTAATTTCCACAGTCACGCTATAACAAACGCTATAATTCACAACGGACGACTCCCGTGCTCGACTCAATCGTCAGTCTCTATCTCTGTCTACAGTTCAATTACATTGTTGCCGTCTGTTCTTGGCGGTCTTATATACAAGAATACCGTACATCTAGTAAACACTCGAGACTTCAGGAAGGGACATGAATTTTCTAGAAGTTCATTACGTGTTACTAGCGTCACGTGACTTCCGCTGTCGTAACAATACCAAATGAAGAACGTCCACTCAGACAAACCAACCATAAGTAACTATAACAATTCATCTATCAATTTTTCGCTAGATTTATAGAAAATGTATTAATAGAAACGCCAATTGAAGGATAACTTTGAATGTTTACGTTATTTATAGTTAAGCCCCCTTGTGGCACAGCGGTATGTCTGCGGACTTACAACGCTAGAATCCGGGTTTCGATACCCGTGGTGGGTAGAGCACAGATAGCCCATTGTATAGCTTTGTGCTTAATTACAAACAAACAAACAAATTTATAGTTAAATAGGAGGTCTTACCGAATCACTTTCTAGCTACAAGATATAAAGTTTAATAGCAAGATTTACAGGTCTAGATTTTATCTACGAGACATAGATATTAATAGCAAGGTTCACTTTGTTAAGTAATGTAAACTAGTCAATACTACTTTGTTTTATGTACATTTGAGATAGTTGGTCAATAATACTTTGCTACGTAATGTACTGTTACGATAACTAGTCATTATTACTTTGTTACATACCGTTATGCTAAAATAAATAGCTAATATGGCTTTTTTACATAATGCACTGTTATGATAACTAGCTAATATTACTTTCTTATATATAAGATACTGTTAAGACAACTATTCAGAATTGGTTTGTTAGATAATGCACTGTTATGATCAGTTAAAATTACCGTTATGATAGCTTGTTAATATTGTTTTGTTACATAATGCACCGTTATGATAACTAGTCAATTATGAATTGTTACATAATGCACGCGAAAAGCTACACTAGGGCTATCTGCACCAGCCGTCCCTAATTTACCAGTGTAAGAGTAGAGGGAAGGCAGCTAGTCATCACCACCCACCGCCATCTCTTGGGCTACTTTTTTTACCATTGAATAGTGGGGTTGACCGTCACATTATAACGCCCCCTACGTCTGAAAGGGCGAGCGTGTTTGGTGGGACGGGGGTTCGAACTCGCGACCCTCAGAGTGCTAGTCGAACGTCGTAACCACTTGGCCATTGCGGGCAAACTTTTACAATTACTAATTAGCTAATATTACTGTATTGCATATAAGGAGTGATAATTCTTAATATTTAATAGAACTTACGTGTCACAACTGATAGTTATCTAATGTACTGTTACGACAGCGGAGGTCACGTGACGCTAGTAACACGCCACGTGCTTCTAGAACGTTCATGAAGCGTCGGGAGACTACTAGGAATGGGGTAGTCTTGTATATATAAGACCGGCCAAGGAACAATGTAATGTAATGTGTAATTGAACTGCGGACAGAGTATTGTTGAGTTGAGCACGTGAGACGTTCGTTGTGAATTATAGCGTTTGTTATAGCGCCACTGTGGAAATTAAGTATATTGCAAAGTTGTATTCAGAAAGAATGAACCAGTTTTATTTAAGAAAGGACTTGTGTCGCTAAAGTTTCGTCGGAACGAAATTTACGGAAAATTAACTAACGAACGGAGACGCAACAGTACTGTTGCGTAAACTAGTTGATATTACTTTGTTACATAATGTACTATTATGATAACTAGTTAATGTTACTTTGTTATAGAATCTACTGTTATGGCAATTAGTGAATATTACTTTGTTATAGAATGTACTGTTATGACAATTAGTGAATATTACTTTGTTACTTAGTTTACTGTTATGACAAGTAGTTAATCTAATTTGTTACGTAATGCACTGCTGTGATAACTATTAGTTATTAATTAATCACGGAACACACTGTTATCACACGTAAGTTCTATTAACTGTTATGAATTTATCACGCCTTGTTTCTTAGACTTATCCAATTTATTGAGATTATTACTGATTAGAGGAATTTTCTTTTGGCTTTTTATTTTGTATTATGCTTTAATTTTGTTATTGAAATGCTACGTATCTTAACTTTTATTTTTATTTTCTTAATTAGATTAAGATTTCCGAAACATGTCTCTATTCCCTTCATTATTAAAAAACAGATATGGCCCTTGGACCTTAAAACTTTCAGAGCTTTATAAAAACTTAATTTGAAATTAAATCGAAAAATACTACGTTTAGAATTTCTTAAAGAATGTAAAAGGAATAACTTGTGTCGTAATTCCGTACAAGGTTTCTAATAAAAGGTCAAGGTAAAAGTTCAGAGATAAAGCTTGTGAGTTGATTATATATTATTTATTTTTTAAACTTTATAACAACTTTTCGACCACTCGTATGGTCATCATCAGGTAAACTGTCGGTTAAGGTGTTTTTCACAATACCGTTCTGCCCAGGTCAGGTTTCTTAATATAGAAATTTTCTCTAAAAAGCATTTGAAAACTAGAGTTTTTATAGCATTGATTTTCGGTGTATTTAGGTATACTTGAAACTGAGGTTGGATTTGTTGATTTCATTCATTTAGCGCAGTACGCAGAAGTTCAGAGTAATAAACATTTTTGTAGAATTAGAATAGTTCAACTTCAGAAAGTAAACAGATTAAAAAACAACTAGAACTTGAAGATAGTCTTTTGAGAACCCCCTCTAAAGTAATATATATTTTACCTAACTTATGTTTGCCAAAACTGAAAGTTATTATAACCTGTCAATATTACTTTTTTTTACTTAATTTACTATGAAGATAGCTGCAATATATAAATACTGACATAAGAAAATAACACATATTTTGACAGACAAAAATGAATTACAAAATAACAACCTTCCTGACATAAGCAACTGATAGTTATATAATTTATTTCATCAAACGTTCATATGTAGAAAGCAATACTAAGTTAGGAATTACACAATTGCCATTAAAATATTCATTTTCTAGCTAACAATAATGTTTATTTCATCAAATGTTTATACGTTGAAAGTTATACTGAGTTAAAAATTACACAAATGCCATTTAAAATATCCATTTGCTAGTTAACAATAATGTTTAGTTGATCAAATATAGGAGAATATGAACGAGTTTTAAGACCTTATACTGAGGTTTTAGCTACCGGGATATGTTGATTATGTTAGATAACTTTTGAGTAAACTCCGGATGACCGACTTTCTTGCTGCAAGCACTGTTTACCTGTCAGTAAAAAAATAACGTGGCTAATTTATCTGCCTCTTAGGCACAAGTCACCTAAACGCATCATCGATTTGGGCCCTCTCTGAGAAACATAAACTCAAACCATTGTTATTTGCAATGGGGTAGCTATATGGGGTATAACTGCCTTCATCGAAACCGAAAGGTAAAACGGAAACTTTGTTTATTACTAAATTTAAAGCAAATTTTGAAGACTAAATGGAAAACGATTAATGTTTAAATATATATTTTAGAATTCTCACTTTTTTGTGGAAGTAACGATATTATACGTTAACTTATTCTTTGAATTGTATAGAGTATCAAATAGGCATATAACGAAAAGTAATATATTTTTATATAAAGCACAATTAGGACATTTTAAAAAGTGAAATCTCTAATGAATCTGTAGTGTTTTGAAGTGTTTTTTTAAAATTTAATTTCTAAAGAATAACGAGGTAAAAAGACCACTGATATTAAAAAATAAATACAGTAATAATACTAAGATATTAAATAAAACTGAATAATTTCTAGGTTAGTGTTAGGTTTCTAAAGATTGGGATTCTTTCTGTAGAAATAATACTCCAAACTGTGATCTGGAGGCGTAGTCAAATCAAACATCTTTCGATAAATATTGAAGTAATTTTGTAGCATAGGCTTAAACGTTCAGATCAGTGAAATGTTTGACGGCTAAAGTAAGCTGAAAATAAATATGAATGTTCTTGTTAAAAGTATTTGAATTCAATATTTCCCAGAATAAGAGGTTAAAGAAAGTTTGTTTCAAAAATTTCTGCAAAGCTACACAAGGGCTACTTGCGCATAGCCGTCCCTAATTTTGAGCTGATGGATTAGGGGGAAAGCAGCTAGAGAAAGGAACCTACCGCAAATTCTAGAATTATTTTTGTCTGATCGAATAGTGGGATTTGTATAACGCGTTTTCATAATAATGGGTCGCGAACGAGCAGTCTTTGGTTTCACAATCCGGCGCAATAATCACTAGGCCACGATTCCCCCAATTTAATAAAGAGCTCGGTAAATAAAGAATTAGAAATTTTGTTTGTAAAAGTTATAAGGTTATTTAAAATTCGTAGTATTCCTCCTATTCTTACATTCACTATCGTTATTTTTTAAGCTGGCATGATAGAAATAGATGTTATCGGTAGAAACAAAGCTAACATGTGTGGATGTTATTAAATACGTTATGAGACCTACCCACAAAAACCAGATATGTAGGAAGAAGAAGACGAAAGAACCATTTGAAGTGCGGCATTCCCCTCTTGGCCCTCTGTGCAGGACCACGCTGATCCACTGGCGCTTTCAACTAACAAACAGCCGGCTTATTTTCTCCGGTACGTTATCCGAGAGCGCCGAATAACATTACGAGTGTTCTACGACTGCGCGAGGTCATTTCTGTCCCATGATACCTAGCGGCACACACACTGAATTTTATGTTGCCTTGCATCCTATTGAAATTCAAGTGACAATTTTTAAGTGCCATACACACTTCCCTTTTGTATTTTGTCTGTGGTTAGTTTTTTGGTAATTACGAACGTGTCGCGAGTCAAACGTTCAATTTATATCACCCACATTGCCTGAAGAATTAGTACATTTAAAAAGGCAGACTAAATTTTTTTTATATCATAACAAGGTAATTTGTTTTACAATCGTGAAAACTATCAGTTATCTTAAACTATTGCGACATCTATATGAATACTCTTATATTCTATTATTTAGTTTCCGAAACTACCGCCTGGGGTATTTGTTTGGCGGGCGAATTCAAATTATGCTTTACAGTTTAATCGGGCAACTTACCACGTGCCCTGCGCTACAGCGCCACACAACGATAAGTATTTGCGGTGACTACTGTGGAGAACGAGTCCGACTCAGGATGCGATGTGCGAGCTACGCAGCAATCTCCAGCATTCTTGGCTAGACAGAGGACTGACTAGCACGTAGCGGTTGTAGATCCACCCATCCGACTATTTCGTAAAGAAAGACTTATAAAAGCAAGAATTATAATGATAGGAGTATTGGAATGACCTTGAGCCGGGGATAACAGAGTGGATATTGAGCAATCAAACAGAGCATTGATTACGTGGGGAAAACTTGTCAATGTTACTCAGTCCACATCATGTCTAGTCAGTACCACTTCCTGCTGCTGCTTACCTCGTGTTGTTGGAGTTTTGTGCATGAAGTTAAAGCTAAAGGTAAGGACTCGTTCTAAATATTAAACTTTCCTATTCATAAGCTATTAATTAATAAAATAACAGTTTCGTCCTAGTTTATAATATCAATGGTTTGGTTGCTGTTAAATACAAAATTATACAATGGCCTCTCTGTGCTCTGCCCAATACAGGTATCGAAACGTGATTTTTAGCGTCGTAAACCTTCAGACTTGCCACGGGAGCCATTATGGGGGGTATTATATTAATGATAATTGATCGAGTGTTAGTGTAAACTAATACAGACCATTACTAAGTATTACAGTTCTACTTCATAAAGTGAACAAAGCCTTTACTCATGGGGTTACAAAACTGGGTGTCACGGACCACAAGGGATGCAGGAAAGTGTCAGGGAAGCCTTAAGTAAAATATCAGATACAAAATACTGTTAAGATACTCAGTATCTATAGGTTCATTGGGTGGGGGCCTCACTCAGGACGTAGAATTTGCTGGGTGGTGTCTTGTGCTGAGAAAGTTTGGGAACTCATGTTTTACCGCTACTTTATCAAAACGCTTGTTTTCTAACATTTTTACAGTTACTATATCGAAATGCTTGTTCCTCAGCATTTCACAGTTATTGTACTAAATTCCTTGTCTTCCAACGCTTTGCAGTTATTGTAAGGAAATATTTGTTTTCGAGCATTTTACAATTACTGTATCTATATGCTTGTTCTCCAAAGTTTTACAGTTACTGTATGGAGATTCTTCTTTTCCAAATACTGTATCGAAATGTATGTTTCCTAATGTTATACATTACTAACATTACTATATCAAAATACTCGTTATACAACTTTTTACACAAAGTTATTGTATGGAAATTATTGTTTTTACACTTACTGTACTGAAATTCTTGTTTTTTACTGATTCAAAATGCTTGTTTTGCAATGTTTTATAGTTTGAAATTCGTATTTTCCAACATTTTACAGTTCTTTTGCAAATTCGACTACAAACTGTAACAGTCGATGCTTCTTTTCAACCTCTTAGTTTCTGCCAAGTCAGCGGGCTATTTTAAGGTGGATGATCTCTTGGATATTTCTGTCGTAAACTGTTTCTCAAACACTGCCAAAAATCTATACTTTAAATAAAAACATATTTACTTGGAAGTGCCTATGATGAAGAAATAGGTCAGATTGTACAGCGTTTTCGTTAGATATCGATTGAATGTACAGCCTCAACATCTCGAGAGAAATTTTTTTCGTTTAATTTTTTTAGAAATGCCAGAAAAGAGGTCACTCAGACATCTTTCGAAGTCTGAGGGTTTATGTAGGAGGCTCAAATATAAGCCAGTAAGCACCTCACTTGTTTTTAGTTATCGATGGAGAATTATCCGCTTTTTTCCAAACCAACGGAATATTTTTCTCTGATTATGCATGAAATCTCAACTTCAGACTCTAAATGGGCAAGTATAAGACTACCATGGGAAAGCATAACCACCAGCCCAAAGACGACAAGACCAGCTCATCCAGAAATTCCATTACATGGCTAGTTGCTCACGTTAATGTATTTCGGCATCACTTAGCCTCATACACAAATTGATTTTGTAATGAACTCCAACATAAATGGTAGATATGGAGGATAGCAGTGGCATAAAGACGTAAAGTAAAGAATCAAAAATAAACTTACTAACTCATCTAGAACATTTGATTTTAATTTTATTTCCGTAAGTGTCTTCCGCTTGTGGTACTAAAAGAGTTGGTTCTGTTTTTCCATCAAATAAGATATCCGAAGTATAAGAACTAAAATGAAGATACACGCATGTACAACTTGTACATTATCAACATAAAATGATCGCTTACAAGATTTAAGCAATGAATTTCAGATTTAATATTGCACAAAACCGGAAGTAGAAAAGGAGTTAGTTGCTTTTTATAATCTTTGGATTTAAAAGGGAACATATCTGGCAATCTACAATATTGTTGTGAAGATAGACAAATGTAATTCCCATGCTGGTTTATTAAAATGTCAACTAAAATTTGTTTTCGAAACAATCAAAACCTTAAAAATGAGTAGAATAACTAAAATATCGAATACAACCAGATTACATAACTGAGGTAAACTTACTAATATTTAGAATATAACCAGATTACATAACTGAGGTAAACTTACTAATATTTAGAATATAACCAGATTACATAACTGAGGTAAACTTACTAATATTGAGAATATAACCAGATTACATAACTAAGGTAAATGTACTAAAAACTTTGAACGGAACCAGATTACCTAACTGAGGCAAACGCACTAATATTTTCGATATATCCTCATTACATGATTAAGGTAGGCCTACATTATTTTGAATAGAACCAGAATGCAATACATAGGTAACTTATAACCAGGTTATATAAACGTAGTATTTAATTCCATTTTAATTCGATTTTATTGTAACAGTTAAGATATTTTCTTTAGTTTTATGAACTAGTTTTAGTGCATTTGGAATAACATTTTTAAATACTTCAATTTTTAAAGTATTTAGTGTTTGGTAATCATTTCCCTAACGCATGACACTTTCTCTGTAAAGCTACATCATTTCCCTAACGCATGACACTTTCTCAGTACTGATGTAAAGCTACATCATTTCCCTAACGCACGACACTTTCTCAGTAGTGATGTAAAGCTACATCATTTCCCTAACGCACGACAGTTTCTCAGTACTGATGTAAAGCTACATCATTTCCCTAACGCTCGACACTTTCTCAGTACTGATGTAAAGCTACGCCATTTTCCAAACCCACAATACTTTTTCATTCTCTAGTTACCACCCTGCAGTGTGTATGCAAACACCAGCATAGATTTATCTCAAAGAGACGGCATAGAGTTCAAGAAGAGTGAACTTAGCAATGCTGTTTTCATTATGAGTTTGTCACTTGTTGCCGTGTGAATGGTGAGAAAACAAGAGGAAATACGCAGTTCTTTAATGGTAAAACTGTTTGTTTGGCAGTTTTTTCTTCACTGTATAATAATTGTGAGCTGTTGCCATGGTCACGATAAGAGAAACCCTCTAGATTCCACTTAGCGTAGGTTATGGGTTTTTGAATTCTCTAAGTTGTAAAATGTGTATTCCAAATTTTATAAAAAAAAACTATAGATAGTTAGAAAGATAGGTAACTAGATATTTAGCTAAGAAAGATTAAGACAGCTGACATTATAAATTCACTGCCTGGAATATTTATATATTTTAAAATTTGTGATATAAAACCTATGATGGATGAGTAAATGAAACCAAGGTCAAATGAATACAAGCTCGAGAAACATTCGCTTTTGTTCTTTATGCTTCTCCTAAAAGTTAGCTGTGACTCTTTGGAAGACGTGTGGAAATAATGTTTGTTTGGAAGGTGTTGTGGAATAAACGCAAGTTTAAAAATGGGAGTGAAATAAATGGCTTTGGAAGTACTATGGGATAAGGGCATTTTAGAAGTTATTTTGGGATAAATACCTCTTGGAAAGTTTGGTGGAATAATTTCTTGATAAGAAAGTGTTGTGGAATCAATGCCTTTTGAAAGGTGAAGGGTAAATGCCTCATACTAGGTGTAAAGTAAATACTGCTTGAAAGGTTTTGTAGAATAAATGTCACTTAAAATGTATTATGAAATAAATTTCTCTCGAAAGATGTTGTGAATAAATGCCTCTTGGGAGGTGTGGGGTAAATATTTATTGGAAGATGTTGTAAATATCTCTTGGGATGTGTGGAGTAAATACTTATTTGAAGATGCTGTAAATGCCTCTTGGGATGTGTGGAGTAAATACTTATTTGAAGATGCTGTAAATGCCTCTTGGTATGTGTGGAGTAAATACTTATTGGAAGATGTTGTAAATGCCTCTTGGGAGGTATGGAGTAAATACTTATTGGAATGTATAAGAATATATGCTTTTCAGGAGACTCACACTTGTATATGAAAATAAATTTCTCTCGAAAGATGTTGTGATTAAAGGCTTCTTAGAAGGTGTGGAGTAAATACTTATTGGAAGATGTTGTAAATGCCTCTTGGGAGGTGTGGAGTAAATAAATATTGGAATGTATGAGAATGCATGCTTTTCAGGAGACGCACACTTGTACATTAAAAGAAATTTATACCAAAGCA